ACAAAACTTTGAATATAAATAGTTGCACGAAGTAAACATGCGGATCCCTCTTTTTATTGATATTACGGCATTCAAATTTTATTATAAAACTAGTATTTCAATTCGCTTGAATCAATGGATGATAAATAAAACATACAATCGCTTTTGAGCATTAACTTTAAAGAAACATCGGTCTAAAGAATATTTGGAAATAGCCCACTAAGAAAGTGTGATGAGTTAAATGAAAAATCCAGCTTTCTTGCAAATCACATTCTTGTCATTTTGCAATGCACGGGGCTAATTGGGAATGCTTCCAATATTTTCCAAACAATCTAACATATTTTAAGTTTCTTAAATAAGCTCAGATAGATATTTTTAGACTATTTGAAATGATCCGAGATAGATACTTTAAAACTTGTAAGTAATTATACCATTCATTGTTTTCTAAGCTTTATTTGTTTCTAATTATTTAAACGGTATCTGCGGCCGTTTTCAACGAGAAGCAAATACCTTTAAAATAATTTAAAAATGGATCAATCATTGCTCAATAAACCTGACTAACAAAGCTTCAATGCCCTGGCATTTTTTAAGGTTATTATTGAGGTTTAAAACAATATTATTATGGAGAGATTCTGGAACGATATTTTGTTATTATTCATTTTGAATATCGATAATTTTTAAATCTACTGCATGAAAAAAAAATTGTTTGCAATATAATATAATATAAAAATAAACGTAATATAAGAGTTTGTACCATAAAAATAACACAATTTTTGTATATTTCATTTTATTAAGAAATAGTTACGGAAAATCATAATTCTTTGAATAAAACTGCGAAAAGAAAATTTATAACATTGGCGTGCTCATAAAGTTGTTAGTCACTTACTAGTTTGTGTTTCCTCAATTAGTTAAGTAGGTCAATTAACAATGTCATCATAAAATGTCATCATAAAATGCATGTAAATATTTATTTTTAGACAGTAATATTGTGTAAACACTACGATGCAATAATGTAACAAATTTCACTTATCGTTTCTAACTTCATAGCTGTTACACGTTTGAAATTTTGAATTCAATTTTAGTTTTCGTTTCTTAAATGTTGCTAAGATTTGAGATTTTCACCAGAAATATTTTTAGTTATTTTATGTTTAATGTCTGAAATTCGAAACTGGTAATTTTTGTTGATTTAAAGTTAGAATATTTTTTTTCGTTAATTTGTGGGACCGAACCATCTACAGATCTGAATGCATTACAAAGGATGGTTCACGGCCGGATTAAGCGCACGCGGGGCCCTAGGCCATTCGAATTTTTGGGGCCCTTAGATTAAATTTTTTTCTCGTATATTTTTTTTATTTATTCAAATATAAAAGTATTTATATATCTTTTCATTTAAGAAAGCATATTTAAAATTAAAATAAATAATAATAAATTAAATTTTACTTTATTTTATTAAATTAGAACTAAAAAATAATCATAACATTTCGAAAAAATTTGAAAAATCATTGTTTTTATTAATTTTTTTAAATTTATTTTCAAAAAATCCATTTTAAGGGGGCCCCTAATCATTGGGGGCCCCTGACCATGGCCTAGTCTGGCCTAATGGATAATCTGGCCCTGCGATGGTTCACTGTCTTTCAAAAAAAAAAATTTTTTTTTTAGCATATTGAAGTAGTATAGTTGAAAAATAATGATTGCAGTAGTACAGTAGGCAAAAATAAAAAATGGAAGTAAAAAATCGACCATCCTAAATAAATTTTGATCTAATGATCTGATATAAACGTTCTAGGACTCAATCTTAAAGGCTCGAGGGGGTGACTTCAAATATGCTAATTAATTTGTGCCGACGATACTTTAAAATGCGAAATCAAGCAGAAAACTGTGCTTTCTCTGAATAAACATTATTTTTTTTCGACGGATTCAGATTTCTGTCTCCCAAAATATAGGGGTTTAGACGAAATTTAGGAATTATGGTCCCCATAGTTTGATCAGGAGAGCGGTCCAACGCTTGGACCCCTGAAGAGCTAATTTCAGTTTTTGAGTATTTTTCCATATCTCGCGAATTTTTTAAGATAATTGAAACCTTTATGCACACAATCATAAAATTCGCTTATCCTAAGATAATTCTATGTAAAAATAATTTTTAGTAAATATTTATTGTTTTTTATTACTTATAATAGTCGAAATTTATTACTAATAATGGTCGAAAAATTTCAAATTGTTAGATACCCAGTTTTTTACATCATTTTAAAGAATGGTATGACAAAATACAAATTTTGAGCAAAATCGGTCGAATAGTTCTTCAGAAATCGAATTTTAAAAATGCGCGTTTTTTCAAAATTTGAGATATGGCGAAATGCATAAAAAGTCAAATTAACAGTAAGGAGTCCAAATTTTGAACCACTCTCCTTAGCAAACTTATATACTAATAATTCTCAGATTGCGGCTACACATATTTTAAGGGTCAGAAATCCATATCCTTCGAAATTTATCCAAATCTTTCGCAATTTCTGGGGTCATAAAAACTTGCAAAAAATGGGAATGATGCATTGACTTTGATAATACTGAAAGAAAACACAAATAATTAAATTCGAAAAGGATAAAACTTCTTTGAAAAAGAAGGATAAAACTTCTTTGATTTCTGCGCTAAGAAGCAGCAGAAATTTCAGAAAAAAGTATCAATAAAAGAAACGAAGGAAATAAAAATAAAAATATGACCACCGAAGCCGACGTCTTCATTGGGTACCGGCCTCGGTAGTCATTAAAAACAAAACCATTTCTAATTGAGCGAGAAGCAAATGCTTAAAATATCTCCCTCAGTACCCCGATGGTTTTGTATAGAGGTCCAGGAAAAACAAGATACATTCAAAATAATTAACAAATTAAGAAAAGAAACTCAATCAAAATCATCAGAAAAATAAAAACTCACTAAGTCACAGGTCAAGCATCAACTTCAAAAGCAAGTAGAAGAAAAGAAAACACTAAAAACTGAAAAAACAACGCCCCCTATTATAATGCGCAGAAGAAGTTTAAAATGAAATGGAAAAGGTCAGGAGAAAGAAATACATTGGTACTGGACTTTGATAATTTTCATATAAGTGGAAAAATTTTGCCAAATTAATGCTTGTTTAGTTCAATAACTTTTAAAATATTTTAGTAATTTGTCCATTCTAAAGCCCAGATAATTCCTTACAGAAGATGGTAAATATAATATAAAATTATAGCCTTGCTTCAAGTGTAAAACATTTCAACTGTGACTTAATTTTACTAGTCTAAAGAACTTCGAAAAACCATGTTTAAACGTATGAAATATAACATTTCGGACTGGACCTTTAAAAACGTTCACTACAACTGTGTGTTCACTATATCTGGAGTTCATTATAGCGGGGTAAATATGCATAATAACGTAAAAATTAAATCATTTAGTATGGCAGATAATTGTTAAAATGTTTCTATATTTTATGGGATAAAATGTATTAACTTATTTAACATATTTTTTTTTTTACTTTGCAAGTGGAATGACACAAATGTTTGGGGTCGTACAGGCAAATCAGGCTTTTATGAAACTCAACTTGACATCCAATGCATATTGAAAAAATTTAACTATTTCTTACTTATAAATTAACCGTAGGCCATTTTAGCAATTGCTTAGCAAATAGATTTCTAAATTTAAAAAAAATTGTTTATAAATTAATATTTTACGATATAATTACTATCGATATTTATACTTCAAAAAGCAAAGCTACAAATCTTATTGTGACTTTATATTATTTTTAGATTGCACCTTCTTTTTAAGTAAACATTGTTTTAGAAAGACGCTTCCCTGATACCTTTGTTGTCTGTCTTACTTTGTTTTTCTTTTCTTCTATAATTTTTTGCTTTACTTAATTCTTATAACACCGTTTTATGTACTTATTTTGTGAAGTGAATGTCTTCTGCAGTTGGATCTGTATAGCCGAGGCAGGCTCTTTTGTCAATTAATCACGCTCGATACATATCTCGGGGGGTAGAAGAATTAAAGGTTGAAGGGTTGGAATATTAGAATATTTAATTACAGATATGCTATGATTTCTGTTTGGTCACCATTAATGCTTATATACACTCTATAACAAAAAAATCGACGCACCAAGAACGCACTAAGACGCGCAAAATCGACGCTCGATCAGGCTGGAATGATGCCGACTGGGGACGTATAGTCTTCAGCGACGAATCCCGCTTCCAACTGTGTCCTGACGATCATCGAAGACGTGTTTGGAGACGCACAGGGCAGAGGGGGGATCCTGCCTTCACTATTGCACGCCACACCGGCCCTCAACAAGGCATTATGGTCTGGGGTGCCATTTCCTTTGACACCCGGACCCCTTTGGTCGTCATTAGAGGTACACTAACTGCACAGCGGTACGTCGACGACATCCTAAGACCTGTTTTGCTACCGTTCCTTTTGCAGCGCTCTGGGCTGGTTTTTCAGCAGGCAATGCCAGACCACATACGGCACGTGTTGCTATGAACTGTCTGAAAGCTTATCAAACTCTTCCTTGGCCTGCCAGATCACCAGATCTCTCTCCCATCGAGCATGTCTGGGATATGATGGGAAGGCGATTGCATCTGGCACGGAATGTTGATGACCTCGTTCGACTAGTAGACTCGTTTTCTAGTAGAGGATAGTCTACTTTACTCGTCTGTCAATTAATACTAATAATATATTGGATTTTGATAGTTTAAAATAGTTAAGTAAAAAATGTTACAATTGACTCCACTCTCCCCTACTATACAAGATAATTTTATAAGGTGACCAAGCTGATCGTCAAAGCCGGCTAGTAGATTGGTATTTTTCTGGACATTTTTACAATAATATGTCTTACCATTTTATGAATATGTACACTGAATATTATCTCTTGTTGCACAATAAGAAATGCTTACCTTAAATGTTTGTGTTTTCTCTTTTTAAAAAGAAAAAAAAACATAGGTATAAGTGTAAAGAGATAGTTCATTTTTCAAAAAAAAGAAGAAAACAACAACCAGTAACAGCATTTCAAAATTTAGTTTGTTATTAAGCTCGAACAAAAGAAATGTTACAAATTCAAGCACAGAACGACAAACTTGTCTACTTTATTAAACAAAATATATAATTTTAAAACATAATGATGATGCAAAAGAATTAGCTGCAAAGCTTAACTTTTTGATGATGTAATGAAGAAAAATATACATTTCCATAAAACACTTAAAGGTAAAATTAAAATAATCATGTCTTATGCAAAATTTCACCAAATTTAATACATTTTTTACTAGAAAGTAAATTTTATGACTTCTTTTAAATTCAGTTGGCTATCGCAATATATTACCAAAACATAATGAGAACCATAAATTATTGTAGAATCTTTTAATACTTCAATAATAAAAAAAGTTCAAAAAATAAAATTATAAGATTGAAATGAGAAGTGTTAATAATATAAGGCGATCAGTGGTAATAATATAAAAGAAATTGTTCTCATACCAAATTAGACAATTCTATTCAAAAACTTTGCAAAGGAAATTAACACACTACATTTCTTACATAATATTTTGACTCAAAACCAACTAGAAAGTAGGTATAAAATATGAAACAAAAGACAAAAAGAGCTCTAACTCAAATTTTGCGCAAAAGAATAATTCATTTTTAATATTTTTAGAGGAATTATTTACAAGCATCACATCAAATAAACTTAAAATAGATATAAATATAATACAAATTTAAAACGAAAGACAAAAATACTCCAAAGTTAAACAAATCAATTTTCTTCATACTATTTGTTATCAATTTTCATTCAATAATATGTAATAAATTTGCAATAAATTAATAATTACAATTATTTTAAATTAAATTTAAAGCAAAGAAAAAATAACTAACATCTAAATTTCAGATATAAAAATACTTTTTTATCAACTTGAAATAAATTACTTGCAAAAACCACTTGCAATTAACTTACGGTAAACAAATTAAATACAGTTTTAAATTCGATTTATTTGTGTTTTAAATACAATCAAAATCATTTCATACTTAAAATGAACAAAACTTAAAGAGAATAAATACAACGTTAGTAGTTCAATAAATTGCACCTTTGCTGATGACGTCACAAAGCAATAACTACCTTTGTACGAAGAATTAAGTGGCAAATACAAAAAACAGAGCTGAAGCTATTCAGCTTCTTTGTCAAAGAAGAGCTCAGTGGAGGAAAATATTAATTGATTGCTTAAAAACACTGATCTATTTTTTTTTTTTCAAATTTAGGAGCATTATAAGCAACAAGTAGTTCATTCAACCAATTCTTTGAAGAAAATTATTCCTTTTTAATATCTTTAACTCTTTGATGCAGATGGGATATCTGTATCCCTATTATATATATTTCTTTCTGACGCTCTGATTATTAGCAAAAATATATTTTGGTATTTTTAAATCATAAAAAAAGTCTAAAAGTTACTAAAAAAATCTGTTAGATTATCAGAAATATATTTGTACTAAATTATAAAATCCAAACGATTTTGTTCTAAATTAATGCAAATCAAGGAAAAAATATGAAAAATATATTTAATAGAAATTCTACTTCAAAAGACTGACAAGCCTGTGGCACCCATTCTAAAAATTCATCTCTTTTATGATCAAGAAATCTTTTAAAAAATCTGTGGAAATCTTCGAAGTATGATACCCATCTTTTATCAATGAAGTTAAAAGTCTCAGACCTTTGTACAATCCCACAAAAATGACAATTGAATTACTCAAATGACTTTGGTTCATATCTTTATCAGTGACATGAACTGATACAAATTCCTTTGACAATTCGTTTATCACAATTCAATTTCCAAAATTATGATATCCTGATAAAATATTTTCAGAAATGGTGTGATTCATTCATTTATTCTTAAAAAACAAATCAGTGTCCTGATTTCTTATTAGGAAACCAGATAATTTGTAGGTTAAGAATTAGTAACATTGAGTATAATTCCGCGAATACTGCGACATAATCACAAAGGATTATTTAACGAACTACCATCATGTAAACAAATTGACCAGATTTCAGAAACCTAACTGTTAAGCATTGAAAACTATAATCTCAATATTTAAAAACACGTTCCTTTTCGTTTCCGTACCAGAAACAAAGTCAAGAGAGTCGCTAACATTATTAAATTAAAATCGGCAACAACAGCTTTAGATCCTGATGGACCAGAGTCATTAGTTTCATCACTGTTATCGATAGCTTCACTATCTTGAATAATATCGTTGTTTTCACTGTCAGCTGACAAATCATTGATTGTTCTGTTCTTAGACTTGTGAATTTCATAGGGAACCAACTTGGCAGGTTGCTCTGTAACTGGCCAAGGTGTTGTCGTCGTCGTCGTTTTCTGCTGCTCTACAAACTTGCTGCAATCCATTTTCATTTTATGCGCAAATTGCATGGAAAGCTTTTCATCTTCTGTATGGCACTGAAGTTGCATCAGCTCCTTTGTCAAGTAATAACTGTAATTGTGGTGAATATATGTTTTTACCCAAGCTAGTCTGCAATCGCATACGAAAGAATTATCTGGAAAAAAAATAAATATGTTAGATGCTATATTATCAAAGCTTGAAAACAATATTAATTGCAAATAAAAAATAATGACTTTCTTCCCATAAAAGTAAATTTCTATTGTTTCTAATAAGCTGACCGTTTTGTGTGGTGGTCAGGTCAAGTCAGAAAGATACCGGGTTCGAACCAAGGATTAATATTTCCTTCTATTCTCTGTACTATCTGTCCTTCGAGCGGTAGGAGCAACGTTGGCAAACCTAATATTGCACCCCTGAGAGAGTGGTCAACAAATCTGATACCAGAATGACAAATATCCGAGTGGGCATTGGGGGAAAAAATAATAATTTCTAATAATGATTGAGTGTGTGAATACGTATTGCCGATTTTATATGAATTACAAACAAAAAGAGCACACAGTATTTATTTAAACAAAAAAGGAGAATACAAAAGGAGGACTCGAATTTTATGCTACAGTCAGCTGTTAATATGACCTAATGAATAATCCCTCAAAAAAATAATAATGAATAAATATACCACGGCTTGATATCTTAAAACAACGATTACTTATAACATTTAAGGTTTTGTATCCAGATTAGTTGTAACAGGTTACTTAAATCAGTTATTACGGCACACCTCTATACTGGGTTGGTAACAGCGCTGACAAACTAGCAAATCCTGCACGAAACAAATGGTATCATAATAGATAAGAAATGGGAGGGAAACATATAATTTTTCACGTGTATTTAAATGCATAGTTAGTTTGTAACAAATGATTGCAAAAATCCGACTTCAAAAAAATTATTAATTATGTCCAGACCAAAATTTCATACAATCTTTGCAAGCATTTTACCATGCAACAAATTCCAAAACAAATGAAATGTTCAAAAGCTAATTGCATACATAATTATTTGAAAAATAAAAGAATTTAGCAAAAATAAAATAACTCGAATACTATTTTTGATCGTTTGTATAAGTCTTAAATCTTTCTCGAATTAATTATATTTTCTCGTTTAAGCTGTCGTCTTTGTAGGAAGAGTTCACAAAAGACAAAGGATTTAAGATACTCCCCCACTGGGTAAGAATAACGCAAAGTAAATTAAAGAAGCTTATCTAAATGCAAATTACCTCCAGACTTAATGAGAAAACATTCGTCACACCCGAAGTTAAAGATCTTTTTGAAGTAATTACACGATTTTTAAAAATTGGTAGCATAAGTAATTTTTTTTCCAATTAAATCGCCCACTTCTGGAGTTACAATTTCTGCCAAGGGTGTGTAGTTATTAATATATTTCATCACCTACCAAAGTTCCTCGCCTGTGACGTAAGCTGTGATAAATGATGAAACAGTCCATTGACTTTTATAATTGAATTTTTATCTAAAAGACACTTTATAGACGCACGTATATAGACTTCAACTTTCTAAATTAAATGTGATTATAAATTAATTTATTTTTTTTACCCTTATAGCAAAGTGTAGTTTAATGTGTAATCTCTTTTTTTAATGGGTGACGTATATAATGAGAAAGGAACACCCAATAAGAGCAATTAGGCACTGCGCACAGACCTATTTCACTTCCCAGACAACCTGGTACCCATTGATTTGAAACTGGATGGGCTTCAAGCCGCCACTGGGGATCGAACCCCAGTTCTTAGAGTAGATAATATGCTGTCAATATTAATCAATATTTCTAATTAATTCCTAAATTCATTCATTAACTCTTTATAGAGTGTCTTAAAATGCACGCAAGATTTAGATTTTATGTCATTAGCGCAATATAATGTTTCCAACAAAGAAATGGAGCAGAAAACGTAAGGGGGCATTTTTTTCATTATTATATTTAATCATTCATAAAATATGTTAAGCCATGGTGGGTCATTGCGTGGCAATTAGAAAGGACTTCGGTCATGCTTTTGGAGATGAGAGCCTTCCCGAGCCCGAGGAATTTTAATTTCAGCCCACCAGAGTCTGAGATACATAGGATTACTTAGTACCTGAGTCTTCCTGAGTTAAATAAAAGTCATTTGACAATTAGTGTAGGCCTCACAAAGAAAAGCACCAAACAGAAGCAGCAGATAGTTGATAGACCTTTATAAGTTTTACATTTTTTATGCTTAATAACTCCACCATACGTTTGTTCAAAAGTAGTTAAAAATATTAGGAAAGTCCGAGCCTGAAAATCTTTTCAGTAGACGTTTGCGAGTCTGTCTCATTTCTAATGCCCATGTAGTTTTCCGATTTATTGATCAAAATTGGTCATTCAAATTATGCGATTTAACGCCATAAAATCCCTTTTTTTCTGTTTAAAAAAATTAAAGTCGATGCCATCCGACCTTAAAAAAGGAAATTTAGCTCAGAATGAACAAAATGATCATATTTAATTCATTTATAGACACATTTAATTACACATTGAGAATTTTAAATAAGAGTGCGTAGTTGTCAAAAAAAATCGTAGAAACTATTTATCCGATATGCTAACATATCCCTATACTGTATACACTAAGAATCAGAAAAAAAATCAATTATTAATTAAGAATCTGTGTTTCTTATGATAACTGCTTCTAATGACAACTCTCTCTTATTCATCTTAGCTTTCTAAAAATAGTTCAAACGCAAGTTTTGTTTCATCCAATTAAAGTTATGTATTCAAAATTACTACTGTCAGATTCAATATTGATGAATCAGGTAATACTATTTTTCCGCATGAAAACGAAAAATTAAATAAATATAAAAAAAAAACAGATGGGATAAAGTGGGGGGTTTAGTCTCATTCACCATATTCTTACCTCGTGACAACTATAAACATTTGGATTTTTTGTTAAGAAAAATTAAATTATTGAACAAAAGTCTTTCGAGAAATCTTTACTGAATTTAGACGTTAAATTAAAATCTTTAAAATGCTCTTTACATCTTGAATACAAACACCACAAAATAAATTTTTTTTTAAAAAAAACAGATGAAATTTGTACATAAGTATTGAATTGTAATAAAATCATTTTCTTCCTGAAAAGAATTATAAAATTAAATTAATGCATCCCACGAAATAAAAAGGGAAGCTGGGGACGCTGAGCACATGCATATAGAATATTGAATTGTAATAGTAGAAGTTTTTTCTATAAAAATATTATTAGATAAAATTGTGCAAGAAATACACCGCTTAGAATGAAACTGCAGGCTTTACTTTCCAATGAGTCTTTTCATAACGGATATATTAATATAACTGAAAGATAATGTACAATCAAAATAAAATGTTATTTGAATGCCTTAAAAAATCAATTTCAACCATTTTAATATTCCCTAGTCTAATTAAAATAATAATACATACAAAAATAAATACATAAACATAAAAATAAATTTCGCATCTCTCTTTTCCATCTTGAAATGGAAATTACACTCATTAAAGCCATGATATCAACGACTCGCTTTCTTAAAAATTATTCATACATCCTTAGAAACGAGATTATTTTACTAGATAATATTCATTAGTTTGCGTGATTAATAACACCCAATTCCGATTAAAGAGAAATATGAAGCACATATCATTCTATCTGCCCAAAATTCGCTTTGATTCAAGAGGTCAACGGTCAGTCATAAAAAGAAATAAACAATCAGGTTCATCAGGTGAGCCACTTCTGCCCTCGGGCAACCTGTCTGGCAACAGACGTAAATTGATTTATATGTTGACGGACTCATTAAATTACAAACAATGACTACAAATAATAGGCTACTGTAAGAGAAAGGTGCCCGTCTTTTCATTGGGAAGACAATAAATCGGTTTTCTTAAAGCTTCCTGATCAAAAGAAATTACATGTTTTTTTGCTTTCCAGGTGTAAAAATTGTTAGTTTCTCTTACTACTAGGTCATTATCCCCGAGTTTAGATTCAATAGAATATTCGTTCTTTTGTTTAAAATCTATTCATTAGGGGGGACGAGTGATAATAAGTTTTCTTTTGATATAAAATATCAAATTAGGATGATCGCTGGACCAAGATAATACATTTGAAATGTTATTCATTCTCTATCTTTTCATTCTTTTTTTGCACATTCCCCTCAGTTATGCAGCGTAAAATAGTGGCTGGTGAATTTTTTCGGGAGTAAGACATTAACGATAAAAATTTATCGTTTTCATTGAAATTCGGTTCAACTGATGAAATATTTCTTAGGCGCGAGAAAGTTTAATTTAGAACATTTGATTTTGATAACGATTTTAATTCACAAAATTTGATTTTGATAATGATTTCAATTTACAAATTTTAATTTTGATAACGATTTTGACTTAGAAAATTTGATTTTGATAATGAATATTTCAAAATCAAATTTATTTATTCAAATCAATTATTTATTCAATTTATTTATGAATATTTCGAAATCAAATTTATTTATTCAAATCAATTATTTATTCAATTTATTTATGAATATTTCAAATCAATTATTTATTCAAATCAATTATTTATTCAAATCAATTATTTATTCAATTTATTTATGAATATTTCAAAATCAAATTTATCTATTCAAATCAATTATTTATTCAATTTATTCATGAATATTTCAAATTCAAATTTATTTATTCGAGTAACAGAATAAAAGAAAAAAGAAAAAGAAATTGATCCCAAACTAGTTTCAGAGCTGCTGGTTTCAATTTGCCGTTGGGTAAAAAATTTCGCAAGGCAATGTTCCTTAAAATTAGTTTAGATGTGCTATGCAGACAAAGAAAAAAAAAAAGAAAAGAAAGAAAGTAGGAGAAAGAGATTAAAGCGCAGCACATATTTTCTGGAAGGGACATATTTAAATATAGGAAGCTTGATTTCGATAACGATTTGTAAAATATTCATATTCTAGAACAAAGAGAAATAACTGATTGTGATGATTTGCGGACAGGATTGAACTTTCAGCTTGTACGAAGCTGGCCAGAGGATAGTAGCTTATCCATCCTAATCTCGAATAACAATAAGGTGACCAGACGTCCTCAAATCTGGAGAACAGTCCTCGAATTTCTTTGATTGTTCTTGAAACTTTA